TCTCTCTCTCCTTCCCTCCGCTTTCCCTCCTCCTTCTCTCCCTTCTCTTTTTTCTCTGTTTTTTTTGTATTTAATACGGCAATATATCCCGCGATCGATGCGACGGTGCTTTATACTCGGCATTTACGTGTTCCGACTATATCAGAACAGGGAAGGGGGGTGAAACCGCGTGACGCGTGATTATCACGGAAAGGTGATAACTGCACCTCTCGGCTCGAGAGAGAGAAGATTATTTAACATTGATCTTTTGTTTTTGCGCCCCCTCGGTAATGTGCATACGTGTAATCGTGAACAAGAAGCTATCGCGCACGATTAATTACGTACGATATTGTTAATGTCGAGCACACGCGCGTTTAACACGTTATTACCATTATTGTCGTAAATATATTTGCGTTTATGGTTTTTTATTGTAATATTACAATTTCTTATTATTATTGTTGTTATTATTATTATTAATGTATTGTAATATCCTTCATTAAATTAATAACGTGTGTAATATATATATATATATATATTCATATTATGTATTTTATGTATTGCAACCACATATCGACTTGTATGAACTGTAATCATCGGAAATGTTATTTGATATACATCCTAAATAATTTTGCCGAACCGGAATCGTAAAAAGAACAACGAGGAGAGAGAGACCGGTGAATCTATTAATCGATACACCGCGACGAAAACCGTCGTTACATCGTTAACGAAAATGACTCGATGCAAGTTAGCGGATACAGTTTACCGCGGACCCAGTGCTTCCGGCGAAAAAAAAAGTTTCGAAGGTTCCGGTAACAACCCGACGTTATAGTCGTAAAACGATGAAATCAATGCGTAACGACCGGTGCCGCTATATTTAACCGACGAGAGTACAGGTAATTCCTATAACCGTCCCCAGCGCATTGACAGGTGCAATTTATCTGAAGCCTGAATGCGCGCCGCACGAGTCTCTGTTTCAAAACGCTCGAAAACATTATTCGCGCTTCGACATCGCTTTCCTCCGATACGCGCGGCGGCGGCCTTACACAGACTGCAATGTAATTGGTCGAACGATACGAAGCGATATTGCGGCACAAAGGAGATATCCGCGCGATCTTCCAGTCACCGAATTTCCGTCGTCGTAGGTGCATCCTCCCACGCGTTGCCACACGGAAATGATACTCGAACGGCATTTAAATTTTACACGGGTCAATCGATTTCTCGTTGTCGTCCCGAGTATCTTGTATCTCGAAAATTGGAGAATAAAGGAAAACGTTTATTTTCCAGATTTAATCGATCGGTCAAACTCTCTCGATCAATCGCGACTAGATGGACTGATTGACGAGTTCTTGATACGCAAGTGGATGGCACATAGAAAAACATCAGCAATGAAACTTAAGCAGTGAGCGAAGACCAGTTATATTCGAGGACTATCATGTTGGAATTCTCGACCGCGATTGGCCAATTCGCTTACTGCTTAAGGTTGCAGCTTTCGTTTTTCAACGTGCTAGAGATGCTAAACGAATGACATATAAGAAAAACATAAGTACGCAAAGAAAAAAGATACTTATGACTATAATTATATAGTAAAATAATTATAGTCAAGATAACAATTTTTTTAGTACGCTGTAAAAACTGATGTGTTAAATTTAACATATTTCATATGTCCCAAATCGTCCACTCTCATTTATGTGTAAATTTAACACAAAACAAATGTATTAAAAAGTGACACGCATAATATGGAAAAAATTAATATAAGAATTTAACACTTGATACCGTTAAGAATTACAGGTTGTGTTAAATTGATGTATTTAATATGTCAGACATAGATTATGTCAATTTAACATTTTTATTTCATCAAAACCATAGATTAATACTTCTCTAAACTGTTAAAGTAACGTTTTATTTTACTTAATTTAACATTATACATATGTCAATTTAATACAAATTGTGATTCCTGACGGTATTCAAGTGTTAAATTCTTGTGTTAATTTTTAACATATTATGCATGTTACTTTTTACCACATTTGTTTCGTGTTAAATTTACACATAAATAAAAATGGATGATTTAGGACACATGAAATGTTAAATTTAACATATCTACACAGTTTTTACAGTGTAAGTGTTACTATAATACAGAATTGGATATTAATTAATTAAAAAATTAAAATGTTAATAACTTTTAATTTAACTTAGTTAATTTTAAATAGATTAACTTTTAATTTAAAGTAATTATTTTAAAATATATTAACTTATTGACTTTTTTTTTATACAAGTCAAGACAATTCATCGATATCGGAATTATTACGTACAACTTATAAATGGATTAAAAAGTAAAAATAATGTCACGAGATTTTTCGTCATCTCTTTTCATTTGAACGCCAATGTTCTTTTCTTACGGATAGTATCCTGAGCGCAAATCAATCGATATTTTTTTATAAAAGACTATCTTCTCAATATTCCACAGAAACTTAATCTACGATTCAAAAGTAAATTATGCAAAAAACTATAAGCATTGTTTTACATAATTAACTTTTATCTTTGATAAGTTCATTCAATTTTAACTTAACTTTTAATTGAGTTAATTTTTTGTTTATGTAACTTTTAACTAAATTTTAATTTTATAGGCCAATTTTAAACTTAGTTAAAACAAACTAAATTATCCAATCTTGTTAAGAAGATACTGGAATCGATGACGAGTTCCAAAAATATCGATAACGTACACTGAGAAAATATATGTAAAAATTAGTAAATATTTATTTATTCGGTCCTAACAGCACATTTATTTATATTAATATAAAAAATATTTTAAATAAGGAAATATGCATTTTCTTCAAGCTTTAAGAAAACTTTAGTTTTCCGTGAAAGTAATTATTTATTCAATTTAAATAAAACAATTTAGATTTAAGTAAATATGCTATTAACACCCACCAAATAAATATATAAATATATAGATATCTTTTAGAGATATCTTTTCTCTCAGTGTAACAATGATTGTCACGAATACAATTATACTATCCTTTTTGTATTTCTTGTATATATAAATATCTTATGTAAATATATATTGTTTTGTTTTACTATATTTAGCAGAAAATCTAACTATGCATATATACAAATATTTCTGCAAATATTTTCAATATTTTTAAGTTTCTAAATTCAGATGTAAAAATATAACAATGTCCATTGATATTTTCTTGAACGGAGCAAATTCGTGTTCAATATATTCAAGCTACAGATCTTTTGTATGAGACGAATATTTACTTTAACTGATAACGTCTAACAAGCTAATTTATACGAAATGGTAACTTTGAAAATTTTTATCGTTTTTGTAATATATTGCCACATATACAAGATATCCCAGAATAACTTTAACTTCGAAGCTTTTGTGGAGACATAGTATGGATTGAGGTGAACATAAAAGTCCTATGTTCTACTGTGTCTACTGTTTTGTGATACTCGCAATAATTATCGAGATATTAATTAAAGAAGATTTGTGAATGATCACGCGAGATATGAGCTATAGTGGCAATATCTGTCATCGTGTGTTTGTACATTAGGTTAAACTGAACAAAAGAATCCTTTACCATTTTCTTAATAACTTTATAGATTTTTAATTATTAATTAAAAAAGATTAACGGATGGTCGCTCACAATAATATATTAATGTTATCTAATTAATAACTAGAAATTTACAAAGTTATTAGGAAAAAAGTAGAGGATTTTTTGTCCAGTTAAACTTATAAACACACGACGGCAGATGTCGCCACTATTCAAACATAGATTTTATATATCTCGCGCGCGTGACCATTCATAAATTTTCTTTAATTAATAACTCGATAAAAAATTATTGCGAATATCGCACAATAACATAGGATTTTTATATTCGCTTTAATCCATACTATGTTTTTACAAGAGCTTCGAAGATTGTTCTAGAACACTCTGAGCACTGCTCCAATTCATTCTCGCACGTATTGTTATTGTGTAGGAGTATTTATAATTCTGTGCAGACAATATAAATTTCGCAAAAGAAAAATCAATATTCTGTTGATAAAGATTTCAACTCCGACGTCCTCTTAATGATAATAATTTTATATGTACATTACTATAACTGTATTTTTGTTAGAACAGTAATAACAGTTAGCACTGTAAACGACGAATTATTTTAACGAGATTAACTATTCTTCCCCTTAGTGCAATAAAATTTAAGCGTTAGACGAATTGACACCAATCACACTCAGGACGTGATACTACGTTGAATTCTTCGACTGTGATCGATTTATTCATGAATTTTTTAATTACATTTTCCCATGTGGCACTCTCTCTTAGTCATTCGTGAAAAATTTGACGGAGGCTGCTCTACTCGTCCGACGGGACGTGGACTCGAAATTAGCGAACGCATTCGTCCTCTGGAGCGCAAGAGCCGGCGTTCCAGGACACCCTGTATATACCGCTTGTATTACGCGCTGCTATAACGTCGCGGGCCAAACGAATCACGCGAGTATCGCGCAGTGGTACGTACACGCCATCGCGCATATCCGTGGACGTATCACGCGAGTGCACGTTTGCGCGAACGCTCCGGCATAATTATGTGTGTGCGTGTCGCCGAGGCGCACATGTCCGCGACACGTGCGTGCGCGCCGTTTCACGCATTAGGTGCAGCAATAAATAGCAGCCGAACGGGAAGGAATAATAAAAGATAAGGCCGTATCGTCGACTGATATCGGCCATGCTTCCCCGGATGTGCCGGTCGCGTTTAAATGCATTACGAGCGTGCTCGTAAACACGCGCTCCTCGCGAAAGTGCGTCCCTCGCCCTCCCTCTCTCCGCGGTAACGCACGGTAGCGCTGTACCGACGACAACAACAACGACGACGACGACGACGACGACGACGACGACGACGACGACGGCGGTTGCGAGTGCGTCGCGAGAACTGGGCCACGTGACGCGCGGGTATCCCCGCGCGACAATACTGTTCCTCTCTCGTCCGTCGCGTCCCGTGGAGGGTCACAGGTCCTTCTTATGTAGCAGGGTTGCGGGGTGCAGTTCAGACATGGGAAGTGAGCATTACTGCCTGAGGTGGAACAATCATCAGAGCAACTTGCTGGGTGTGTTTAGTCAACTGCTGGAGTCGGAGTCGCTAGTGGACGTGACACTGGCGTGCACGGAGGGACCGTCGATACGCGCTCACAAGGTAGTCCTCTCCGCGTGCTCCAGCTACTTCCAGGCCCTGTTCCTCGACCATCCGAACCGCCACCCCATTGTCATCCTAAAGGACGTACGTTTCACCGAGCTACGTACCCTCGTCGACTTCATGTACAAGGGCGAGGTAAACGTCGAGTACTGCCAGCTATCGGCCCTGCTCAAGACAGCGGAGAGCCTCAAGGTTAAGGGTCTAGCGGACATGACGAACATCAACGCGGCGGTATCGTCCAGGGACGAGCAGCAGCAGCAGCAGCAGCAACAGCAACAGCAACAGCAGCAACAGCAGCAGCAGCAACAGCAGCAGCAGCAACAACAGCAACAACAACAGCAACACACAAGCGCCTCCGACTCGTCGCGGGAACATCATCGGGAACGAGAGCGGGAGCGAGAACGAGAACGAGAACGAGAGCGGGAGCGAGAGAGCACAAAGGAGACCAGCGGCAAGGACAGAGAACGAGAGTCGAGCGTCGCCGGGGTGACCGTGGCCGGCGGCGCTAAGGAATGCGAGCAACAGCAACCGAGCGTCGCTCAAAGCGCCCCCAGCGAGCCCGCGGAGGCGGTAGACATGACGGAGTGTCCGTCGTCACCCACGGCACCCGGTAGCCCGTGTCCGGGACCGCTCGCCCTCGACCGGCCGAGGAGGGACTCCGAGGACGCGGCCAGCCTCGAGGAGACTCGGGGCTCCCTAAGCCCAATCTCGGTGCACAGCGGACCATCCGACATGAGCCTCAGCAACAACACCGGCGGCGGCGGCGGCGGTGCGCCCGGTGTGCTGCCGTTGAACCTACCGCAGAGCCGGCTTCCGTCCCCGCACAGTACTGAGCCCCTCGCCGGCCCGTCGGGCTTACCCCCGGTCCAGCAAGTTCCGCTCGTAAGTAGCTAGAAGATTATTAACCCTCTCGAGACGGCCGCGGTGTGTAAACCACGCGGAACGACGCAGGCCCTCGGGCATTCCACGTGACGTTTATGCGCAACGGCTTTATTGAGAAATTCGAGAAACAGCGTTCCAAAGATACTCGCAGTAGCAATGTGTGAGGTGAACGTACCAATCTCTAGACGACTGGTAGCGCTACGGGAGAATATTGTATCTCAAAGATAGTTGCGAAAAGAATTTTTTGAACAGTTGAATTAGCAATATGAATTAAAGACTAGATTGTTGATTTGAATCGTGGAGGCCCGGTTTGTTATTTCGGAACTCTGTTTTGATTTTTTGAACAGTTGTGATTTGAAAAGTGCTTTCAGAAGGAAAGATTAAAAAAAATATATTTATTATAAAAAATTAGAAAATTGAAATTCAATATTTTTTTTCAAAATAAATAAACTATAACTATAATGAAATAACTACAAAAATACTATTAAACGACGTAAAGAAAAAGGAAAGAGAAAAATAATATCAATTAAAATATCTTTATATCGTATCCTTAAGAATATATCGGAACTCAAAAGTCAATACTAAAAGTTAGTTAGTTGAACATTCTACAACTAGTATATTTAAAGGTTAATAGTAAGATTTAGTTAGTTAAACTTTCCAGAACACAAAAATTTAATAACCATTTTTTATAAAGCAGCGCGCGCCTTCCAATGCCTAAATATCTGTTTCGAATAATGAATGTTCAGTAGAGTCAATAACTTAATTTATCTTAAACAAACAAGTTAGTTTCATTTGCTTTTACAATTTATGACAAATCTCAATTAACCTTACGGTTAATTTATTATTTCTTATTGCGAGCATCGATAACAAAATTTCCACAATCTATATTGCACCAATAAATAAAATAATTATTTACTATAACGCATGCTTTAATGAAAATAACGGTTTGGATGTTGTACTTTAAAACTTTAAAATGTAAAAAAATTTTTTTATTTTGCTTACAAAATCTAATTATTCTTAAAACAATGTAAAAATGCTCAATATCAAATACGTATCTTTTGATATTTTTACCTTAATTTAACACTCAGTCAGTAGTATATATTGCAATTTCTATAGACTAAATTTTAAATGCTATAACGTAGCTAATTATCTCTGTAGCTAGAAATACATCTAAAAGGGTTGATAAAAGTTGTCATTTTATATAAGCGATTAAAAAAAATCTTTGTTCTTATAAAAGATTCTTGAAAATAAATTCAGATTTTTCTAATTCAGTTTCATTCAACTCAAAAGCCAATACTGAATAGCTGATGTATGAAAATAGGCTGAAAAGTAATACGTATAGCTTATTTAAAAAATAATAATTGCGCATAGCATATATATTTCAAAAATAATGATGCGTGTAACAGAACGCAACGCTTAGTTAGCAAGCGATCGATTATGCATGGATACCATTGTTTGTTTTTAAATGTGTTTGTTTTTAAATTTAGTCAAAATATTTCCAAGAATATACATGTCTGACAGTTAATGATATAACATTCGTGTGCAGATAGACTATCAAACTGGACAAGAAAGTTCCATTTGTTATAGTCCACTAAACAAAGAGTATCATTTTGCAATTTTACAGTAGTTATTTAGGAATTAATTGCACAGTATAGGAAACGGTAGAATGAACTGTGTAAATCAGATTTCATTCAAGATGGTTCGAATTTGTTAACGATTTTATGCAGGCCAGCCAGCCGTGCAAGCCGTGCATGATGCCAGACTCCATACTTCCATTGTCCAATATCATAAACACACCTGCCGCTGTCAGATCATTAATAGATTTGAACCTCTTGGATGAAATCTGATTTTCACAGCTCATTTTACTGCTTTTCACGCACTCGTTCGCTAATATTGTGTGATTAATTTTTTAATAATTATCGTGAAATTTGCAACATAGTAGAAAATTCTCTTTAGTTTGATCTACATTACCTGCACATGAGCGTTTTAATTTTTGTTAATTCCACGAATTATCGATCACTCGTTAAATAATTGGTTAATAACTCATTAAATATTAAATAATTGGTTCTGATGAATGCGATGAATGGTAGTTGTCACAAAAAAAAAATGAAACGAAAGTACAATTTATTGGTTGCTTGGACACTCATGCAACTACACTGAGAGAAAAAAATAGTTGGAATAACTATAATCTCACTATATTTTATAGTTCGTTTTGGCCTCAAACATATATTTATGGTTCATTTAAACATGAAGATATAGTAGAATGAACACAGATTTATAATTATCATCTTATTACTCTATATATATGGTAAAGCACCTTTTGGGAATATAGTTACATGTACCTATATTTGCCAAATATTGATATATTAATTATATTGACTATATAAAATAGTTAATTTCTCTTACCATTCAATATTTGCTACCTTACTATATTTTTTATTTCAAATAATTATAATTCTTGGTAAAAATTTTATACGGGTCAGTTATACTATGCTTATATTGTAAATATTACAAATAATATGGTAACATTTACTATAAAAATTATATTTCTAACTATAATCTTTTTACTATGCCATTATAGTTCCAAATATCATACAGTTTTCTCTCAGTGTAGCATCCCTCCATCTTCACTTCTCCAAGAGAAAAATAAAAAACAAATCGATCAAGTATGAGTGCTATTTATGAGTTTTTAAATTAATAGATTGATTTGACCGAGTTTCGTTGTTTCGAAACAATCGTTAAATTACATACAGAGAAATATATACTGCATTCGACCAAATGTTACTTGTTTTTAGTATTTGGCAAATCTATCATAAGCTTATAATAAACATTAAATTTGCTCAAAATTCTGAATTTTAGTAGGTTTAGCATTTTAATTGAGAATATTAAATTAAAACAAAAATTTCTTTTGTTCATTTATATAAAGTCGAACTAACTTTTTCTTCGATAAAGTTTTCCATTATTCTTGTAAAGAGAATAAAAATTCTTTTGAGTACATAATAATGAGCTTTTCTAAAATTTGCGATACGTATATTTTAAGATTATTATTAAGAAAATATTCTTTGTTGAACATTACTTAAAAGAAGGAAAGTAAATCGAGTAATCACTTTTTTAAAAAGTAAAATGATATTTTTTTCTATGTGTCTATGTTTAAAAAATCAGAAATATAAATACTAAAAAAAAAGAAGAAACAAAAATATAAATACGTTATGCTTTCCCTAAATACTTTTCAGTTTTATATATTTGCAGGATATATATACTTTAATATTTTAAACTGCAATTCCTTGGCAGAAAAACCACTTTTTATCGCCCCAGGATAGTCAAAAACAGAATTAACCGTGTAGACGAATTGTAAAAAATAAAACGTGTACGTTTGTAAGTTTCTAAATGTGAGAAAGAAAGAGAGAGAGAAAGAGAGAAAAGGAAAGTTCATGTTAGAAATAATATATTATATGAAATAATATAATATATGAAACGTTTTAAATAAAATAATTTCTTGAAAATTCGAGCAATAAGGGATGATCTTTTTTGACAAAAAGTTATATTTAAAAATTCGAAATATATATACACATATATATATACAGGCTATCCCAGATCACCATTCTTTACGAGAGCGCAGAATGTTGACATAAATATAAAAGTCTTATACCCATTTGCGATATTCGCAGTAATAGTCGAGAAATTAATTATAAAAGATTAAGGAAAAGCGTGCGCTGAATGGTAGAGGGAGGAGTGCTCGAGCCGCAACACGACCCAGCAATATAGTGCGCCACTGCCTATGCTTATATCGCTGCGCTCTTGCGTCTTGCCGCACCGTGCCGAGGCGAGATGTAGGAGCGCAGCGATAAAAGCACAAGCAGTGGTGCGTTGTTTTTCTTCTCGCGAGTCGTCATTCGTTTCTTAACTAACTTAAGGGAAGAACTCCATGTAAATGAACCGAAAAATAGGCAGTCTTTAAGGATTAAAAATGAATCTTTTTGAAACTTTTAGTATATTTAAATGCACACTCAAAGAACTAGAAAATGTTTGGTTTGAGTAATAGGAATGGATATTTTGATGGTTAATGGAGGTCGATGTCGGAGGCTTTGTTTTTGACGAGGTGAACTTGCGTACACTCTAGCGGTCTCAATTTTAATTCTGCAACAAAATTTCTAAAAGATTTGTTTTTTTTTAATAAAAACCACGGAATAAACCTAAACTTGTTAAAAAAGTGGAAATTTGGTGAAAATAAACGACTTCGAAAGAAAAGATTCTAATTTTACGGAAAATTTTCATCTTAATTGTTTAAGAAATGTTGTTTAAATAAATAAATATTAATAACATTTAGGTTCATTCTATTATAAAAGTAATAATGCACATGCACGCATAAGCTCAATGCAATTGGTTGAATAGTTTTTGAGCTATGATGTACGCAAGTTACGAAAAAGTAGTTCTGAGAAAAACGTGTTTAAAGTTAACGAAGCAAATAAATAACAGTTTTTGGAAATTCACGGCTCTTTTCGACTATTCTGCAATTCCAGCTCTATACAATAGACCCTCCGTTTTCTCGAAAAATTGGTTTTTTGCAATTTTTTTTGTTTATGAGCTATTAGAGTCTCTTTTGTGTTGCTACGAGCTTGGCGCTCCTGTCTGCGCAATCGCTTGCTGTCCAATAAATCGGCGTAAATTTTGCATTGCTGGCCAATTCTAAGTTCCAAAACATCCATCATTTTTAATACTGCAGAATAATCCTCGTTAAATATACTAGCAAGCAGCAATATAACTATCTATTTCTATTATTTTAGTGCCAGCATATAAGTGTTTGGGAGCTAGTCGCCAGATCATTGTATTTAGACTCTCGTTAGCATTCTGTGTATGCCTTCCCAAGCACCTCTCGGCCATTAAGAAAGTCTATTGTGTAAAAGAGATTAAGTCGAGAAACGGGAGAGATCCGGCCAAGACGCGCCGGGCGACTCTTATATTTGCGCGCGGCGCAGATATAAGTGTCCGTAGTGCCATTA